TATTCTCCCTAAAGCCCGTTGATACATGTGATACAAATTCAARCAAATTAGTTATTGTAGATTTCTCTTTACGAAAACCGTGCTGAGAACAAGAAATTAGTGAAGAGATTCGGAAGGTTATGTCGTCTGTTATAATTGCTTCAAAAAGTTTAGGTATTGCAGACAACTTTGCTATTCCCCTACAGTTTTCAATAGATGACCTAAATCCACTCTTATGCAAAGGAATTATAAATGACTTTTTCCATATGGATGGAAATAAGCCTTGCATAAGAGATGAATTAAATAATTTTTTTAGGGGTTGGTATATATATTTGGCACATTTCTTAAGAAAGCACGAGGGAATCATATCTGGTATGATTGTTCTAATATATTTAACTGATATAAGACGTCTGCTTCGGAAATGGTAGGTGCATTAATGAAAGAAATCGGACATAGCTTGTACTAATCCGGAACATTTTTGGGAGATTTTTGAGAATAATTGGACCTAAAGAATTCAGCGAGCATATTAGAAATGGTGTGATTGTCACTGGACATACTAGACTTATATTTCATAGCAGACGAAAAATCAGAAATCCTGCGTTTGGAGTTGACGAAACCATAGAACAATTTTGGATTACGTATAATATTATTTTTTACTTTATTTATATAATTATTATAACATATTTTGTTAAGTTCAGCAAATTGTCGGCGCAATTTAGAATATTTTGAATAGTCAGACACTAAACTAGTTTTTTTTTTTAAGTTTAAAAGCACGGGATTTTCTTTTTTAATTTACATAATTCTTTCGAAAACCATAAATTAGAACTCATTTTATGAGTAACAACACACTTCAGAACATATTTTTCGAATAAGTTTAAAATAGTTTCTTTCATTAAAGTGGGAAGCACTAAATTCAATGTTGCCATTGTAATCTGGCCAAGTAACTTTAGAAAGTTCGTGACTTATTGTAATAAAGGTGGGTTCACACCCCGTGGTTTGCACCGTCACTAGATCCTGCCTTGTAGCAATCTGTCTCGAGGACTCTAACCTCCCCCCTTTCGACCCAAGGCTCTTGGATCAGCAGGATGCCAAGTTTATCCGAAGTGAACCTACTCGCTATGATAGACGAGGCTGTCGCCATGTGGTGCAGGTTCATCTGGGCAACTTCCACGTTGTTGGCCACTGTATTATCGGTTCGATGAGGAGCCGGTCCACATTCCCACCAGCATCCTCGCTGCCATCCATAGGGTCTCCTAGCCCCTCGAGAAGTTCCTGCGTGGAGGGTAACTCCGCTCCTTGAGCGCAAGTCGTCTTGTCGCAGACTTCCGAAGTCGCAACGGTCGGAACTTATTCCGCCTTGCTGTCGCTGGGTTCAGTAGCAACCTCATCCCTGAGCATCTTCTCTGCTTCCTTGTTCCCGGTGGCAGTTGCAGGCTTGTATGGCCTCAAGACTACCGTGCTGAGTCTATAGTCTCGTCGTCTCCGTAAGTCCTCCCCCTTTCTTCGGCAGAGGAGGGGCCCTTCCAGCCTTCCAACTTGGAGGCGATCTCCCGTAGGCCAGGCAGCATCACTCTTAAAGGTTGGGAGATGCGGAAAATGCAATGCGGTTAAGCCCGTGCCTACAAGTTGCCTAAAATTCACAGAGGTGAAATTCCGCTCTTTAATTTGTGTACAAAGTCAATATTGAAGCAACCATTCTGCCAGGAATAAAAGGATGTCCAACTTATTTCATTGTGAAATTTGCGTTTTTTATTTTCCATTTTTTCGGACTTTTGGGTATTAAAATACAACTCCCAACATTTATTACGACCGAAGATTACTAAATATTCCTCTTCTTCTTGATTGGCGTAGTCACCGCTTACGCGATTATAGCCGAGTTAACAAACGCGCGCCGTTTCTTATTTTCGCTAAGTGGCGCCAATTAGATATTCCAAGTGAAGCCAGGTCCTTCTCCACTTGGTCCTTCCAACGGAGTGGAGGTCTTCCTCTGCTTCCCCCGGCGGGTACTGCAGTCCGAAGTAGCAGCTGTTGGCAAGAGTTATCCTGAGTTGGATTTCTAGGCTGACATTGTTGGTAGTGTTTACGCTGGTGCCCAGATAGTCGAAATTATGTACAACTTCAAAGCTATAACTGTTAACAGTGACGTGAGTGCTAAGTCGCGAGTGCGACGACTGTTTGTTTGATGACAGGAGATATTTCGTCTTGCCCTCGTTCACTGCCAGACCCATCTGTGTTGCTTCCTTGTCCAGTCTGGAGAAAGCAGAGCTAACGGCGCGGGTGTTGAGGCCGATGATATCAATATCATCGGCATAATCCAGTAGCTGTACCCTCTTAGATGGTCCCTTCTCTATTTAGTTCTTCAGCTCGAACTATTTTCTCCAGAAGCAGGTTGACTATATAGTGGTCTTTAATTAATAGAGAAACTATTTAAATATTTTTATGTTACATTAAAATAACTGACTTTTGAACATTCAATACTTTATAAGGGTAATGCCCAGTTAGTAAAAGTTTTTGATAATTTTCCATTTAAAATTAATACTATGATGCATCGCATGACAAAACATTTCATAAATACATTTATTTTTTTGTTAAGATTTCAATCTGGATTATAGCCGAGTTAACAACAGCGCGCCAGTCGTTTCTTCTTTTCGTAATGCCGCGCCTATTGGAGATTCCAAGCGAAGCCAGGTCCTTCCAACGGAGTGGAGGTCTTCCTCTTCCTCTGCTTCCCCCGGCGGGTATGGCGTCGAATACTTTCAGAGCTGGAGTGTTTCGTCCATTCGGACGACATGACTTAGTCAGCATACCCGCTGTATTTTAATTCGCTGAATTGTGTCAATGTCGTCGTATATCTCATACAGCTCATCGTTCCATCGAATGCGATATTCGCCGTGGCCAATGCGCAAAGTACTCTCTCTACCCCCTTGGGTTGGGGGGGGAAACTGAATACACGCGTGGTAAGGCATGCCTGTCGTAAAAGGTGACTAAAATCCCGAATGCACTGTGTCTGTCATTCTGGGCTTGGCTTGATTTGTCAGCATAGTCCATGTCAGATATAGTCCTATAGTATTCATCGTAAAAGAATGGTTATTGTACACTGTATTTATTCCTGGTATTTGACCGTGTTTTCGTTTACGAATGGATTTACGAGACACTTGTCATCATACAGTTGAGTTCTTTAGAATTCTTAGGAATTCTTGGGGGCTCAACTGGCAGTTTCGTGGTGGCTGTGGTTTAAACCTAAATGCATTTAGTCGGGTGTGGAGTCGCACTGCGGCCGGGTGCCGGACCCAGAGTACGGCAGAGGTTTTAGATGGGCTTCGTACCCGACCAAGGTGGCTAGGGTGTCTTACATCCACCCAAACCAATTGGAACCAAAGTATAAGTGTATGTGGCGGCACCCATGCTTTGGTTCTCCAGAGTATGGTGCAGGTGCATGCACTCGTGCTTTGGGGCGCTGATSAACGCATTGTTTTGATCTATGTGCTTCTAGCAATAGAAAGCACCATGGTTAGGCACCATGGTTAGGCCTTCGCAGGCAGGAACTCACGTTAAACCACAACGGACTCTGTCAACAGTGTGTCCATTCCACACCGCCACTTGGTACTGTAAATGCTTAGCATTCTCAAGGCGCTGATCAACGCATTGGTTTGATCCGCTGTACTTTTGAGCACCGTGGGGTAAGGCTGTCGTCCCGTTCCCACGACAGTCGGGTCTACGAAAACCGGAACGGACCCGGATTTTTATCCGGCCAAGGACTGCCAACTCGGCAGAATTCTGCCGTTACAACAACAACAACAGCTGTCGTCAGCAGGTACCACCGTTAAACACACCGGACGTTGTGAACAGTGACGAGGGTGCCCAGTCGCGATTGCGACGACTGTTTGTTTGATGGCTGGAGATATTTCGTCTTGCCCTCGTTCAATGCCAGACCCATTTGCTATGCTTCCAGAACTAAGCGTCAATCAATATCATTGGCATACGTCAGCAGCTGTACACACTTATAGAAGATTGTACCTGCTTGATTAAGTTCTGCAGCTCGAATTATTTTCTCTAGAAGAACGTTGAAGAAGTCCCACGAAAGAAAGTTACCTTATCTGAACCCTCGTTTGGTATCGAACGTCTGGGAGAGGTGCGGCGTGCTGTCGTGCTGTCAGACGCAGCTTTGAAATCAACGAGGTGGTGTGTGTCGATTCTCTTTTCACGGTTTTTTCCAAAATTTKACGAATGGTGAATATCTGGAGTTRGTAATTTGCCAGGTCTTAAGCCACACTGATAAGGCCCAACCAGTTTGTTGACGGTGGGCTTTAATCTTTCACAAAATACGCTCGATAGAACCTTATACGCGATGTTGGCGCAGAGGGTGGGGTTTCCCTTTTTGTTGATTGGGCAGAGCACACTTAAATTCCAACCATATTTTACAAAGAAGTTGATTCATGCTCCTTATCAGCACTCGCCGCTTTGTTGTTGTTTAGACGGCTGATTGCTATTCGATTTCTTCATGGTCGAGCAATGGAAATTCTGCTCCATCGTCATCGATTGGGGTATCGGGTTCGCCTTCTCCTGCCGTTATGCATTCACTGCCATTCAGCTGGCTGGAGAAGTACTCCCTCTATAATTTTAGTATGCTCTGGTCATCGGTTTCTAGATCACTTCCTTGGGTTCTACAAGAGTATGCCCCGGTCTTGAAATCTTCAGTTAGTCGCCGCATCTTTTCGTAGAAAACTCTCAACTCTAGGTATCTGTTCCATCCCGCACGTGTTGTGGCCGATAGCAACGTGCCAGGATACGGCACATACTCGTCCCTGGTTAATCGACTCAACTCATCCCTATAATCTATATACTATTGTATAGGGTCTCCGTCGTTGGATGTTATAAATTTCGTGACAAACTTAATACACCTTTTTGAGTGTGTGACCTAATTAAGAAAAAGAGCAAAGATCCCTGTTCCTACCAAAGATAAATTAATTAAACTAAAAAAGCAAAGCAAACTGTAATTTTTATTAATTAAAATTTAAATTTACATATGTATATAATATATATAATACCATAATACCAATATATAATTGGTTTTACAAACTTCTTTGCTTTCTAGCACGCGGAGGGTTCCATGATACAGGTGTTGAATCAGTAATGGAAACAATATTAAGACCACCCATTTGCAATCCTTTAATTGCAGACTGTAATCAAACTAAATTTATAAATATTTTAAAAATTAAAAAAAAAAGTTTTTACCATGCGGCCAGGTCCCAATCCACGCACTTTCACGCGAACGGTCTTCCAACCTAGTTCTATGGCTTTCTGCAAATAAATAAGATACTATCTCTTCAGAAGTCAAATTTCAAACCTCATTTTATTCACCTCGCTAATAGTTATTGCAGTGGCTTGAGCTGCAATATTTGTACCTTTTCGAGTATTTTTAAAACCTTCAATACCACAAGATCGGATTACTCTAGGTATACCGTTATTATCGGTAACGCTGATTACAGTGTTGTTAGGTGATACTCGTATATTACATATAGGTAATTCAGCAAATGGAATCCCATTATATAGTTGGTGATATGTTTTGACACCTGGGAAGAATTTTTCTTTCCTGTTAAATACAGTGTATTTAGTTAGTTTTGCCACAATTTTAGTTGATATTATCATATGTTCTTTTTCAAACCAAAATTTAATGTTTAACACTTTTTTTATTTTTTAGACAACTTTTTCATCACTTTTGTTCTARTCGTCCTAGCTAACATTTGTTTTACTTTTATATATATAATATATGTACATGGCACAACTAAAATGCAAAATAACGTATCATCAAAAAATTCACCACATCACATGCCTCAAATTTTAAGCTTCTGCGATCAAAAATACCGAAGCTATATTAAAAATTCAAAAAAACGTATCATCAAGTGCTTGATTTCGTTAAACAAAATAACTCATGTGTGTAAAAATGACAGAGTGTTTGTCCTTTTTACATCGAAGTTAGCCTTCATTTATTGTTTATGTTTATTTTTAGTGATTATGTTCAATGCTTTGGTTCGATTAGGTTACATGGCTGATCAAAAATCGAACATGGACTACGACATTTACATATGTAGTCATTGGTGAGGCCATAGAAAAGAAGAACTCCTGCAGGCGTTTAATTTCCATACCCGCCAGTTCGATTTGATGTCTGAGGGTATGCGCCCCAAGTGATTAAGTATTGACCTCCCTAATGCCAGACAGCCAAGAAGGAATTGTTGAGTTGTTTCTACCTCATCTTCTGCAGATGGCGTCTAGTAGGATTCCCAGCCTTACTGCGTGGCCTTTCCTTACTTTTGGGGCAATAGCGTGTTAAAAGCCCCAAAACTAGGGGCAAAAAGATCGCTAGATCTCTTGCGAACGATTTTGGGTCAAAAGACTTTTGCGACAGCTCATGTACCAATGGTGGCCCAGCACTGACCAAGCTTCCGCGATGCCTAGCTATTCAGTAACAAAAGTGGATACGGGTGCACAGATCCGCAGCCTAATGGCTCTAATCTTGGTCTGGAAGACCCCGCAATAGTTAGGAAGTCTGAAACTAGAGTTGATAGAGAGCTCCTGACTATAGACCTCCACCAATCTTCCCCACAAGAAGAAATGACAACATCTACAAGACCTAAACGATTTGATTCCAGCAGATTATTACTTTTAWGACTACTATACAATTTGCTTCATTTTTCCTCTATATTTCCTTTATATTTTATATGAAATATTCTTATAGTTTAATTTTAATTCAGATTTGAAATTTTTATTTCAATATCTCAATTGGGTTTCTTTTTATACTGGAAATCTATGAAAAGTGGTGTTACGTTATTTTGCATTTCAGGTGACGATGAAGAGTATGTACAAAAATTGGCGGCCCAGTATTGTAAAATAATGGATTAATTAAGTTGTGCATTTATAGATCGCTCAAGATAAAGTAACCATTTAAATTCTATGGAAATTGAAATATGCAATAAATCAGCTGACACAACAGGAACGGAACAATGACTGTTAATTGCTGGCAATCATTGATATCCAATGGAAAATAGGCACAAATGGGATTTCTTTTAAGCCGCGATCTGAAGGTACCGTTGGAATTAAACATATATAGGGTTATGGCAACGCAAACTCTTAGTTTACGAGAGTCCGCCACCACACAAAGGAGTACTACGCAAAAGTATTCCAGTCATTATTATTATTATTTTTGCAAAGCGCGGCCGAAGCCCCCAACGCAGAAAGGAGTACTACACAAAAGTAGTACTAGTAGTAAAAGCCCGGGTATTGGCTCGACTAGGCTTATTTTTGTAAAGCGCGGCCGAAGCCCCCAACGTAGGAAGGAATATTACGCGAAAGTACTTCAGTCACCCCGATATGATATAAATTCTATATGGGTAAATTTTAGAATAGCATCCCCCGATTTCGGGGTTAAAAACCATAAGTCAGCGGCAGCTATATGTATATACATATGTACAGTGCCGCATATAAGTATTGGCACGTCAACCATTTTGTATTTTTCGGCTATTTTAAAAGCAGACTAATATGTTATGCAGTGTAAATATATTTTCCCTTGTTAAATCCAATTCGGATCCTTCGACCGCGCTTCAAAAAAAAAAAAATAACCCTGGTCGCTCAAACACCGGCGTGTTCATAGTTCTTTTGTGTCAAAGAACTTTCAGCACTGGCGGCTTTCGGCCGCGCTTCAAAAAAAAATAACTCTGGTCGGTCCAACACCGGGGTGTTCATAGTTCTTTTGTGTTGAAAATTTCGGAGTTGCCATTGGCAATATAAAACGGTATTTACTAAATATTTTATAATAATATTTTT